CAGCCGATGCCTGGCTAGGCTTTACCTGGAGGCTGCCAGGGAGCTGCTGTGTGCCAGACCCCGGGAAAGGGGCTGGGCAGCCAGGGGAGTCACCCAGCATGAACTCATTGTCTCTCCAGCAGTTCCAGCTTTAGCCCTGGCTCTGGTACCCTCCCAGGCTGAGAGCCTGGCTGGGACACTGCTCCATGTCCCCTGGCCTGGAGTCCCTCCTGCTCCCTGCCTTCCAAGGTGCCACCTTCCTGCTGTCCACCACGACAGCCTCCGCTTGGGTTTCAGCTTCTTCCTGCCACGGCTCAAAAAATCCCCCTCAAGACCACGTTTCTCAGCAGGGTGTGTGTCTTCCTTCCCTTGCAGCCCTTCCTGCTGTCCTTACGGTATTTTCAGTCCCTGACCTTCTCCTCCCACGGCTCAGTTTTCCAAAGCCAGGCTGCTGAGCAGGCTCAAGGTGTCACTAGCACACCCCCAAGCAAAGCACCTTGGCACTGCAGGATATCCCCAGCTCTGGGGCTCACTGCTTCCAGCCCATGGCACATTACACACCTTTTCCAGTTCAGTTACACTGGCTTTTCTCTCCCCACGCTCTTCCCCCCCAGGTTTAGGGGCAGATTCCTGCTTCCCTTGCACATGGGGCACTCACAAATGCACACAAGGAGAGGAGTTGGCAGGATGGGAACAGGGAGCCTGTGCCAGCTGGCTGGAGCAGCAAGGAGGGGAGCTGGGCCTCAGCAGAGATGGGGGTGCCACTGGGGCAGTTTGCTGTCCCAGGGGTGCTGCAACCACGGCTCAGCATTGCTCTGGGAAGGTTACTGTGTCCTTGTCACTGTTTCCCACTGCCCCACTGGGCACAGCCCCAGCTCATGGCAGCCTTCTGGGGAGAGCTCTGTCTTCCAAAATGCACCCCATTAACAGCATCACTGTGGCTCTCCCCAAACTGCCCAGAACCCTTCCTGGCCTCCTTGTGCTGCCTGGAGTGGGCCGGCGAGCCCTGGGAAGCAAACACCTGTAGAGGCAGGACTGAGTCTCCCTGGCTGCCAAGGCAGCTTTCCTGCTCCCCAGTCCCAAACACAGCCACGTCCAACAGACACGTTTTACTTCCTCGGTGCTGTGCACAAACTCACCCCAATTCCCTTGTGCCAGGCAAATCCAACACAACAAGGCTCAGCCACAGCCTGGTCCAGGTGAGTGTCCTGCTGTCCTGGCACAGGCCCTGGACTCCTGTGGGCACCTCTGTGGCTGCAGCATCCGACAGCATCCCGTTGTTTTTGTTCTTCCCTGGAGCAAGCGCAGCAGCTGCCCGCTCCAGCCCCACCCGGCACGGCCCCCCATCACCTTCAGCAGCAGCCTGACTTCTGTGCTGTTCCCACTGTTGGAACACGGGCCCGTACTGGAGCACTGCCAGGGCTTCTTGTTTCTCACAGGAAAACATTCCCTGATGCCCTCGACTCGTTCCTGTGACCTTCCCACCAACTTGGCAGCACCCCGGTGCTTCACGTCAGGGATCTGCCCAAGATGCCAGCCCAGGGTCTGTGTGTGCT